AAAAACCTACGTAATAGACGTCGGGCGGGGGGGTTATCCTCTATCCTCTAGTAAGTATCCGACACGCCGAGCAATGTCGGCGGATTCATTCCCGAAGCGGCAAGATACTACAATACGCAAAAGTGGATGGCGCCCTTTGTGTGGGTACGAGGATGGTTCTGCCAACTACTTTCTAACTGTTGCAGCCCAGGATGGAAGATCCACAAACTTGTGCGAGGGCCTCACAAGCCTCACTGCCGGGCGCTCAGACACGCCAATTCCTCATTTTTTGAACCGCACACATGTTTCCTTTTGGGGGGGGGAGCACTTTGGAGGGCGAGCCATCCCCTTTAAACAAAACATACACGAGTTTAAGAAGGACTTTCCCCCCCCCTTGTGTCTAGCTGGACCGATGCAAAGGAGCGGCCCAGCCTTCCGCAGCTCGTGGATGTGTCGTTGGGCCACATCGCAGTGCTGCTGCGCCCTGGAGAGAGGCTGCGGCTGCAGCACCTCGGCGCAAGAGACGGGACAGCTTGCGATCAGTGCGAAATCGGGGAATCTGACATGGAAGGATTTTTTCTAGGGGGCATTCCAGCCTTCATTCTCTGCCAATCGCACCAGCAAGGACATCTTGGGATCAAACCCCCAGTTGCATGGTTGAGTATTCCAGGAAGTGGCCCAACAAGCCAAAGCCTTGCAAACGGGCCCAACGCGGCCTAAGCCTTTTTGATTCTCATTTGAAAGGAACTCGGTGAAACCAGTCTTTTGACTTGCTGGCGCGATAGGCGGGGAACGAGAAATGGAATGACCCCTATAAACCATCCCCCATGGTTTCCTTTCGTCGGAGATCCCAGGTTCAGACCATTTCTCTCATTCCCCGATTTCGCGCCGATCGCATGTTGAGAAGGGCCCCGGCATTGGCCGGTGCGAGGATTTGCTCTTCTGCCCACCCGCGATGGTTTCGAAACCTGGGCACGAGCGAGCGCCTGCACGTGGCGGAGCGCATGGATGCTGGCAAGGCTGGGCCTCTGAGCTGTGGCTTCTAAGCTTGGATTCCAGCCAAGCTTACCGCAGTTGCTGTCTGCAAGAAATCCATAGGACGTGCCCCAATGAAGGGGATTCGTGACAGCTCTGAAGCTTTTGCTATGCTAAGGTGACGCAACTGGACTGCATTGATTTGTGGCGGGTGAGCTGTTGTATTGTGTTTTTTGGATCGGCCAGTGCCGACACCAGTCTGAGGTTGACTGGAGGCTGGCTCACTCTACCAGAGCAGCCTCGCCATCTTGTGGAGGAGGGTGTGGAAGCTTGACCAAGGTTCATTTTTGCATTTGCCAGTCCAGCTACCGCTATAGCAAATAACTGAAGGAAACCATGTAGAACCTAGAGGACAACATCACACATTCATATACATACTATATCTTGCCTGGTTGCCTACTAGGGTGGTGACTGGAACTTGCCGTGGCCACGTGCGTTTTCCGCGATTATTTTTTTTTTCCGAGCCAGAGGTTGACTGGACTCCCTGGACGCGCTCGGCGCCTCCGTCGAGGTTGTAGTGGCTCGGACTCCGAGGCGCTTTGAAGCTATGGGTTTGGTCAGAAAAAGCTTTGGTCTCCCCTGCTACAAAGAGCTTGCAAGAGAGTGTTGTTTTCTTTTTGCCGGCGTCCTGTGACTCTTGGTGGATCACGATTGTTGTATTGAGGATCTGGCGAGCATATTTCGACCGCTTCAGGGCCATGTCAATCCTCAGCCAGCGACGTTGTGTCATTTTTTTCGCATTTTTACTCCTGCGCTTCTGCCAACCAAGCGCTTTGGGTTTGTTCCAATCAGGAGCACCAGCCGGTCCTCCAGGGATCACGAAAATCGTGAAAGCGGAGTGAGGAGGGAGACTCCTTGGAGGGTGCCATGGCCGGGCCCTGCGGAGCGGGTCCCGCGTTCTGAGAGTGCCTTCGTGCTGGGCTTTGGACCCGGACTCCGACTGGGCCACGGGCTCAAAACCCTTCAGTAGATGAAGGGAAGTAAGGGACAATTCCAAACAAAAATCGCCGCGGAGATCCGCCTTAATGCTTTGCATGGTTCTGGGTCAACCATTTTAATGCCGGGGTTTGATTGTGACTCAACTGTCACGCCTGCTGAACCCCACACAGCAAATGAACTTGGCGAAGGACATCCGATTCGGGGCATTCGAGTTTCTGAACGGTTCGGCATAGTCCCTCGCGCGGCCTTGGCGCCGACTTACATGGGCAAAGAAGCGGTGCTTACAGGCACAAGAGTTGCAAGCCAACGTGCTTTGTCCGGCCTCAAGTTTCAACTGCCGGGGAAAAGAGCTTCGACTGCGTGTGCTTTGCGCAAGGTGTTTACAAGCCACTGGTTGTTGTTTTTTTGGATTGATCCTCTGGCGATTGGCCTCTAACATGAAGCCATGTATGCATTGGGGATTTTGAACATCAACTTTGCCGCTTTGGTTCGAGGGCTTCTGGGCCGTTTGGGTTCCGGTTTGGGTCAAGGCCTCGCTCGCAGCAGAGCACCTTGGAACAGCTGGCGAACTGCCCCCAGGCCTTGGCTGACGCGTCCGAGCCGCGAAATGGAACGAGAATCCGCAGCGTCCAATTCCTGGTGGTTTAGGTTTTTGACCCATAGCCGTTCATATTTTATTTGGTGGATTCAAGGGAAGCTCAAAGGAAGCCAGCGGAGAGCATCAAATTTTGGACCATTCTGAGCCATTTTCAAACGGCGTGCTGTTGATGCGAACGGTCACCTTTTGGTGCTCGTTTAAGGCAACACGAAGCAAGGTTTGGGGCAACATGGGTGTGGGAAGCATTTTTGTTGTTGCCAACCCAAGACTGTTTTCATTATCTGCCAGCAAGACCCCAAGTCCAAACCAGCAGTTTGGTGGGTGTGGCTCTCGGTATCCTTGAAAGCTGCCGGAGTCCATTTGGCTTCTGTTGAAACCATCCAAAAAGGGGGGGGAGCGCGAGTTTTGGCAACGCCCAATTGGACATGTGTCAAAACAGGGGTGCCCAACTTTTTGTTTGGCTTGCCGCGGTTTGCCTTTGAAGCAACCTGCAAAACATATTTTGCCTCAAACACCGAGCAGTTGGCTTCTTTGGCCATTGAGTGCCCAAGCCACCCATTGATTTCCCCCCCCCCCCCCTGTGTTGCTTTTTGTTGCACATTGACCTATTCACACACTCCGCTAACATGATGGCTCAATGCCCTTCAGGTCATTTGTACAGTCATTCGACTCATGGTACATTGATAAAAAGGCTTGCAGACCGCTTTACAGGATTCACAGTCAACACAAGCCACCAGGGACAATCCATCCTCCATCCTCCATATTGGCACATTGGACTCTCTCCGGAATAGATCCAGGGACCAAATCAACGACCTCTACCACAGGGTACCAGTTCCCTTCTGGGATAGGCACCCATTTGTGGTAGCGGAGCGATGGCGCCATCTGTGCCTCAGCTGGGTGGCTGCGGAGCAGTTCGTGCTGACTCTAGTCAGTTAGACTGTTCAGGACTACGTAGTGCTTACCACCGGCAGTCTTGCTGACTCGGCATCCTTTCCCTCATTTGTGGTAGCGGAGCAGGTTTTCCGCAGAGATCCAAGGGAAGATGTCATCCGATGGAGAAGGCTTCATGGAAGCCTATTGAAGTATGGCCAAACTATCAGGCTATACGGAGGAAACACTCAATTTATCGATGACCGCCAAGCAGCCGCCATCGTACGACGGAAAAGTCAGCTGGTTTAGGTATGAAGACTCGTGGACGACTGGGTGACAATCACTACGGTGGAAGCACCCAAGAGAGGACCTCTGCTCAAGAGCAGACTCACAGGAGATGCCTATATGTACAAGGCAGTCCTCCAAAATGACCTTTTGCAAGATCCTGATGAAGGAGTCAACTACTTCAAGAACACGCTGAAGAAGTACTTTTTGAAAGGTGCAACCAACGTTTATCTGTACAGGCTCCTCAGTTTCTTCAGTCATAGAAGGCAGAACCAAGAGTTCCTCATTTTTACATCAAAATTCGAAATCCTTCTCATGAGATTGAATCACGGGAATGCAGGACAGACAGTGGGACGCATTTCCCTTCGGGGATAATCTCATTGCGCAGTTTTTCATTATACAGAGTGAATTGTCAGATCAGCAGAGAGAAAGACTGACAAGTGCAATGTCATTGAGAAACATTTCACTAGAGAACTACTCCTATGAGATGCTGAAGACGCACTACCATGAAGTCTTCATCACGACCAGGACATCCATTCAAGATCCATCAAGGCGGCAACCGAAGCAACACATTCTTCATCATCGAACAAGGTGAATACGAAGGAGAAGAAGGCTTTTGGGTTGAGGATGAAGAAGGACTTGAAGGATTCATGTCAAACAACGATGAAGAGACATTCTGGGTCCTCGAGGAGAACGATGCGTTCATAGCAAGGAAAAAAAGAAGGAAAATCAGGAAACAAGAAGGGCAGTTATCAACGAGGTGGCTTTAAACCCTTCAGAAAAAGCGGTTCTGGCGGGAAGGCCAATATGGCCAATGAGAACTATGATCCCTACGACCAGGCATATTGGGGAAAAGGCAAAGGAAAGAAGGGAAAGAAAGGAAAATCAAAATTCCAATATCCAGCCCGCCATCCAGCAGACTGCACCATCCACAGAGCCTACCTATGCCGGTTGGACAGACCAAGATTGGGATCAATCATGGACATGGAATGAACAAGGCTGGTACTCATCCCATGAGACATCCAGCACAGGACAAGCGCTAATGGCATTCCATGACGCATATGAGCATCATGAGACAGAGGCCATCCACGGGAAGCTGATCCAATCAGATGCAGTTTCAGAACACAATTTTTCCGTCAGTCCGTGCAATTCTGCAACAGTTGTGGACATGGTTGTGGCGGTGATCTTGTGCGTCTCATAGTCGACCAATGAGCCTCTCGAGTTCGATGAGCCCTGGCGAAGATCTCTTTGTTCTGCGAGAAATATAACATGCGCACGTTGGGATGACTTATGTTCACTGTTGCGATAGGATGCATCTGGATAACCAACTATGCGTGTCTTGCCACGAAGGGGCCAGAATCTCATACTAAGCGGAATGCTTTTGATGGTTCTGGCTGTCTTATTATTGGCGCGAACGTCCTCAATGGTCGGTGATGATGCCTTGGATGCACACCTGGAGAATTGATAACCACTGTGGAACTGCGTTCGCGATTGTAACCAATTGGTCTGACCTAGGACACTTCTGTATGCAGTATGCATTTGTGGAGTAAGAGGAGTGTCGTCCTTCAGGTACTTGTCAAAAGTGATCTCCTGAAGTTCGTCAATGGCAACGTTCTGATGGACATTGATGTACCAGCCATGCTTGTCATCTTGCTTCCATTGCATGCGTTGTCCTACGAAGAGGCAATCATTTTTGTGTTCGGAACCAGCTTGAAAATCTTTGCGAAGTCGTCCCATGATTTCCTTCTCGAACACATCATCACCTGTCATAAGAAGATCATCAACATGAAGAGAAAGTGCTCCATGAACTTGTCGATTCTTGGCATTGTTGCCGGAAACAGGATCCATAAGGTAATCAACTGCTCCTTCGAGATCGAAAGTGTTGGATGACTTCTTTTCACTCAACAGTGCGGGCTTCGGAAGCTGCTTGCCGTAGTATACATATGTACAACGGTCTGCCCTGGTTGGCACCAGCGTGAGAACGGAGTGCCGAATCAAGGATGTTCCACCATCTGCGGGGTGCGTCATTTAGCCCGTAGGCAGGCTTCTTCATGCGCGCTCCAATGTGTGGTGGATATCCCATTTCAGGAGGGATCTGACAAATGATGTCACGAGTCTGATCGTATGTTCGCCTTGGAGGAATGCTGTCTTCAAATCCATGTGAAATATATTCCAGCGCTTATTTGCGGCTGCTTGGATTGCAAGGCGGAAGCCACTCCTGGATGCAGCAGGACTATCTGTCTGCTGATCATTCTTCTGCTTGTCTTGGAAGCCTCGGAGGACCCAGCGAGCCTTGGTCTTCAAGAAGTTACCATCCTTGTCTCGCTTTAGGGTAAGGGCCCAGCGACCAGTGACCCAGTTCCTGACCTGAATCTTGCGTGTGTCGACCAAGTCGAACACTTCGTTATCAAGCCAAGATTTGCACTCAAGCTGCTTGGCTTCAAGGATAAGCCTTTATTTCAGTGGCTGTCGCTTCCTTCCGCTTCTTGCCAATAAGTGCGGATGTGGGTGAAGCCTTCAAGGATTCTTGCTTGGATGAGTACAAAACTAAGAGTGCACGGTCATCGTCGGTCATGTTCTTGCATAACTGGTCCACATGATTCTGATCTGTGTATTTCTGATGAGAGAATTTGCATCCGGGCGATGGGTTGGAGGTCCCTTTCACACGTCCAAGAAGACAGGGTTTCCTTCAATATCTCTCGGAACCGTAAAGGATCCAGTGTTCGCACAGATCTTCTGCTCAGCTGTCATGAGTGACCAATGTGCTTCATCAAGAACGAGATCAGCTGGTGATCATCGTAAGATCTGGTCCTCTGAGAGTCTTCGGTCAGTATATCTCATGGTTCTCTCTGAACTTCCAGTGGTGTTGGAACATGAGGGATCAGTTCTTCCTCACTTTCATATTGTACCGGCAAGTTTGCTGGATTGTTCGGATTGTAATTGGATGAAGATGCAGGTTCATTTCTGGGAGAATGCTCAGGTGACTCATCATTGTCATCTGGCTTCTTCTTCTTCTTCTTCCCAGTCTTCTTCCCAGTCTTCTGCTTCTTGGATGGACTGCCAGTCGTTTCTTCTTGCTCAAGTGTTGGCAGTTCAAGATCTTCATCATGGTCTTCCTCATTCCTGTCAATCGTTGGCTGAGTTGGTGTTGCGACATTGAGTTGGATGAGATCTGCTGGTCGTCTTCCGAATGCGAGCTCTAATGGTGTTACACCCCCTGATTCCTGACAGTTGCAGCTGCCTTCACCAGCTGTCTATATGTCACTTTCTTCAGTGTGGCAGGTGCTGCGCCTGCCTTGATGGAACTGAGCATGATCTTGAGTTGTGCCTTCAGGAGTCGAACTGCAGCTTCAGCTCGATTTGGCCATGGTGTGTTCGGTCCCAATGATATCGGTGTGATGTCAAGGGATTGATAGAAATGTTCCCACGTCTCCGTCATGAAGGCTTGATCTGCGACAACTGATTTGGGCTGCAAGTGGTACTGGTCAAAATAGTTCCTGAGGACAGTGATGTTCTCGACTTCTTGCGTAGTTGTCACTGCCTCTGCAGTGAGCAATGTTGTTGCTCCATCCAGGATGACAAAACAATGATGCGTTCTCCTGTTCCAAGAGGAACTTGACAGTGATCAATGAATGTCATGTCGCCAAAGGTGTCCGCTCGAAGTCCACTCGTCTTGCTTCGTGATGGTGCATGTTTTGCCGCTTGGCAAACTTCACATTCACTTCTGATTTTGTTAAATAGATCGAATGTTGATTTCGGCAAATGAAGTGAGCGAGTTCTAAGTCGAAATTGATCTGTTGTCATGTGGAGGTGGAGCTTCTTCAAC